AATATTGTTATCTTTTATATTTATAGGACCTGAAGTCTCCTTCCACATCCTATAAGCCTCTACCTCTCGTTGCATCTGCTTTTTCTCAAGCACAAGCATCCAAGAGAAAATATGTTGTACTAAATAACTTTTTTTTTTTTTAGACGGAATCTCGCTCTGTCGACCAGGCTGGAGTGCAGTGGCGCAATCTAAGTTCACTGCCAATCTCCGTCTCTTGGATTCAAGCAATTCTCTTGCCTCAGCCTCCCGAACCACTGGGATTACAGGCACCCACCACCGCATCCGGCTAATATTTGTATTTGTATTTCTAGTAGAGATGGGGTTTCACCATGTTGGCTAGGCTGGTCTCGAACTCCTGACTTCAGGTGATCTGCCCCCCTGGGCCTCCCAAAGTGCTGGGATTACAGGAGTGAGCCACCGTGCCCAGCCTATTTTTACTTTTTAAAAAATTTTTATTTTACTTTTTGGACCAAACAATGTGAATATATAAAGCCATGCTTTGAATCAAGAATGCTATCTTTAGGTTAGGTGTGGTGGCTCATACCTGTAATCCCAACACTTTGGGAGGCCAAGGTGGGAGGATTGTTTGGGCTCAGGAGTTCAAGACCACCCTGGACTACATAGTGAGACCTTGTCTCTCCAAAAAAAAAAAAAAAAGTTATCTTTTATATTTATAGGACCTGAAGTCTCCCTACAAGCCTCTACTTTTATTCAATCTGCTTTTCCTCAAGTACAAGCATCCAAGAGACAATATATTGTACTAAATAATTTTTTTTTTTTTTTTGAGACAGTCTGGCTCTGTTGCCCAGGTTGGAGTGCAGCGGCGTGATCTCAGCTCACTGCAACCTCCACCTCCCGGGTTCAAGCGATTCTCCAGCCTCAGCTTCCCAAGTAGCTGGGACTACAGGTGTGCGCCACTGTGTCAGCTAATTTTCTTGTATTTTTAGTAAACACAGGGTTTCAAAGTGTTGGCCAGGTTGGTCTCGAGCTCCTGACCTCAGGTGATCCCTCCACCTCGGCCTCCCAAAGTGCTGGGATTACAGCTGTGAGCCACTGCGCCGGGGCACTACATAACTAACCATAAAGTACATTAAAAAGCATTCCAGGCTGCAATATATGTATAAATGTTTTTTTTTTTTTT